ATTTACTACCATCATTCTAAGCAAATAAGATGTATAAACATGATAAACATCACATGCATCAAATAGTGACATGATATGGCCAATATCATATTGCTCCTTTTGATCTCCATCTTCGGGGCTCCATGATCATCATCATCACCGGCATGACACCATGATCTCCATCATCGTGTCTTCATGAAGTTGTCTCGCCAACTATTACTTCTACTACTACAGCTAACGGTTAGCAATAAAGTTAAGTCATTACATGACATTTATGTTGACACGCAGGTCATAAATAAATTAAGACAACTCCTATGGCTCCTGCCGGTTGTCATACTCATCGACATGCAAGTCGTGATTCCTATTACAAGAACATGATCATCTCATACATCACATATATCATTCATCACATCCTTTGGCCATATCACATCACATAGCATACCCTGCAAAAACAAGTTAGACGTCCTCTAATTGTTGTTTGCATGTTTTACGTGGCTGCTATGGGTTTCTAGCAAGAACGTTTCTTACCTACGCAAAAACCACAACGTGATATGCCAATTGCTATTTACCCTTCATAAGGACCCTTTTCATCGAATCCGATCTGACTAAAGTGGGAGAGACAGACACCCGCTAGCCACCTTATGCAACTAGTGCATGTCGGTCGGTGGAACCAGTCTCACGTAAGAGTATGTGTAAGGTCGGTCCGGGCCGCTTCATCCCACGATGCCGCCGAATCAAGATAAGACTAGTAACGGCAAGTAAATTGACAAAATCAACGCCCACAACTGCTTTGTGTTCTACTCGTGCACAGAAACTACGCATAGACCTAGCTCATAATGCCACTGTTGGGGAATGTAGCAGAAATTCAAAATTTTCTACGCATCACCAAGATCAATCTATGGAGTAATCTAGCAACGAGGGGAAGGAGAGTGCATCTACATACCCTTGTAGATCGCTAAGCGGAAGCGTTCAAGTGAACGGGGTTGATGGAGTCGTACTCGTCGTGATCCAAATCACCGATGATCCTAGTGCCGAACGGACGGCACCTCCGTGTTCTACACACGTACAGCCCGGTGACGTCTCCTACGCCTTGATCCAGCAAGGGGAGAAGGAGAGGTTGGGGAAGACTCCATCCAGCAGCAGCACGACGGCGTGGTGGTGGTGGAGGAGCGTGGTACTCCAGCAGGGCTTCGCCAAGCACCGCAAGAGACGAGGAGGGAGAAGGGTAGGGTTGCGCCAAGAAGGAGATTGAATCGTGTCTCTGGCAGCCCAAAACCTCAAGTATATATAGGGGGAGGGGAGGGGCTGTGCCCCCACCTAGGTTTCCACCCCTAGGGGTGGCGGCCAGCCCTAGATCCCATCTAGGGGGCGGCCAAGGGGGGAGAAAGGGGGGCGCACCACTAGGTGGGCCTTAGGCCCATCTGAGCCTAGGGTTTGCCCCCTTCCACTCTCCCTTGCGCCTTGGGCCTTGGTGGGGGGGCGCACCAGCCCACCTGGGGCTGGTCCCCTCCCACACTTGGCCCATGCAGCCCTCCAGGGCTGGTGGACCCACTTGGTGGACCGCCGGGACCCTCCCGGTGGTCCCGGTACGTTACCGATAAAACCCGAAACTTTTCCGGTGACCAAAACAGGACTTCCGATATATAAATCTTTACCTCCGGACCATTCCGGAACTCCTCGTGACGTCCGGGATCTCATCCGGGACTCCGAACAACATTCGGTAACCACATATATCTATTCCCTATAACCCTAGCGTCATCGAACCTTAAGTGTGTAGACCCTACGGGTTCGGGAACCATGCAGACATGACCGAGATAACTCTTCGGTCAATAACCAACAGCGGGATCTGGATACCCATGTTGGCTCCCACATGTTCCATGATGATCTCATCGGATGAACCACGATGTCAAGGACTTAATCAATCCCGTATACAATTCCCTTTGTCTAGCGGTACGATACTTGCCCGAGATTCGATCGTCGGTATCCCGATACCTTGTTCAATCTCATTACCGGCAAGTCTCTTTACTCGTTCCGTAACACATCATCCCGTGATCAACTCCTTGATCACATTGTGCACATTATGATGATGTCCTACCGAGTGGGCCCAGAGATACCTCTCCGTTTACACGGAGTGACAAATCCCAGTCTCGATTCGTGCCAACCCAACAGACATTTTCGGAGATACTTGTAGTGTACCTTTATAGCCACCCAGTTATGTTGTGACGTTTGGCACACCCAAAGCACTCCTACGGTATCCGGGAGTTGCACAATCTCATGGTCTAAGGAAATGATACTTGACATTAGAAAAGCTTTAGCATACGAACTACATGATCTTGTGCTAGGCTTAGGATTGGGTCCTGTCCATCACATCATTCTCCTAATGATGTGATCCCGTTATCAACGACATCCATTGTCCATGGTCAGGAAACTGTAACCATCTATTGATCAACGAGCCAGTCAACTAGAGGCTTACTAGGGACATGGTGTTGTCTATGTATCCACACATGTATCTGAGTTTCCTATCAATACAATTCTAGCATGGATAATAAATGATTATCATGAACAAGGAAATATAATAATAACCAATTTATTATTGCCTCTAGGGCATATTTCCAACAGGTATGATTGTATATTTTATTTATGGTGCTGTCCTACCGTGCCCTCCGGTCTCACGCAAAGATGAGGGGCCCCCACTGTACGGTGTTGCAATATGTTCAAGGTTCGCTTACGGTGGGTTGCGAGAGTGACAGGAACTTAAACCCGAGTAGGTGGGGTATGGCGTATGGGAATAAAGAGGACTTAATACTTAATTCTATGGTTGGGTTTCACGACCTTAATGATCTTTAGTAGTTGCGGATGCATTCTAGAGTTCCGATCATAAGTGCATATGATCCAAGTAGAGAAAGTATGTTAGCTCATGCCTCTCCCTCATATAAAATTGCAAGAATGATTACCGATACTTGTTATCGATTGCCTAGGGACAAATGACTTTCTTGTTGACCCAAGCTATCCACTTTTATTACCTTTCAATTTATCCGTAGTTTTATTCTCGCAAAGTACTCGTAGTTTTATCCTTGCAAAATAGTTTCATACTTGTTTCTGGTAAAGCAAACATCAAGTGTGCGTAGAGTTGTATCGGTGGTCAATAGAACTTGAGGGAATATTTATTCTGCCTTTAGATCCTCGTTGGGTTCGACACTCTTATTCACTGAAAAAGTCTACAAACGATCCCCTATACTTGTGAGTTATCAAGACCTTTTTCTGGCGCCGTTGCCGGGGAGTTATAGCGTGAGGTGAATATTCTCGTGTATGCTTGTTTGCTTTATCACTAAGTAGTCTTTATTTTCTTTTCTAAGATTGTTCTCTATCTTTAGTTATGGATATGGAACACAAAACACCAAAAAAGATAATTGTACTTGCTACTCATGGAGATGGGGAACCTCCTAAAACCCTCGATGCTCGTTATGTAAAAGATATTATGCACTACTTTGATAATCCTGAGAAAACCCCATTCACCTATATAATGGGAGTAACGTTAGATCAACGTGAATAATTTAGGGATTATCAGTTGACTCGTAAAGGGAAATTGTTATGGGATCAAATTCTTATGTTGCATTGGTATGCTTGTGTAGCGCCCAAGATGCGATTCTATCCCAATCACGTGATGAACTCATGATTGGGGCACAAGCGCATTTTGAGCGCATAGCAAGGTGGATATCATTACAACATACCATGTACTGAATAGATGAGGATACAAGATAAAGGCTTACACTCGCCACAAGCTACAACATCAATACAATAGTACATCAATACATAGCAACCATCATACAGAAGAGCAGGATCCGACTACGAATGAAATCAAACGAAAAAGAAGAACGACATCCACCCTGCTAATCCCAGGCTCCCCGACCCGGAACCTATTCCCTTGATTGAAGAAGAAGCAGAAGAAGAACTCCAAAAGCAATCAAGCATCGCTCTCACGTCAGATCATCGCATAACCTGCACCTGCAATTGTTGTAGTAGTAACTGTGAGCTACGAGGACTAAGAAATCCCATTACCATGGGTATCAAGACTAGCAAAGCTTAATGGGTATGGAAAGGATAAGTGGTGAGGTTGCAGCAAGCGGCTAAGCAATGTATGGTGCCTAACTTACGAGTACAAGAATAAGATGAGAAACTACGCAAACGGTCGCAAACTAGTAATGATCAAGAAGTGATCCTGAAGTACTTACGTTCAAACATAACCCCACCACGTTCTCTTCTCGAACTCACTCGAAAAGAGAGGTCACGGTTACGCACGCGGTTGGTGTATTTTAACTGAGTTTACTTCAAGTCCTCTACAACCAGATATTAACCAATTCCCATCTGCCACATAACTGGGGCATGGCTCTCGAAAGTTTAAACCCTACAGGGTGTCCCAACTTAGCCCATGGCAAGCTCACGATCCGCGGAGACAATCCTACATCGCGGCACCATCCGATCAGACTTGGAATACCGGTGCACAAGACATTTCGACAATGGTAAAACAAGTCCAGCAAGACCTCCCGATGCACCGACCTAGCCTGATAGGAGTTGTGCGATCTCGTTCTCTGGGTACACCAGATGGGACAAGCTATGAGTAAAACCAGCCCTCGAGTTTCCCCGAGGTGGCCCCGCAGGCTGCCCGTTTGGGACCAACACCATCAGCACTGGCCCCCCTATTATGTAGAAAATCCTCGGGCTCATAACGCCCTATGCCAATTAATTATTTAGTTCAATTATTATTATGGCAAATGTTAAAACCAATGTTGGGTCTTGCTGGAAGAGTTTTATTCGAAGCGAACTGTCAAGAGGGCCCCATACCCCTCACCGTGTTAGGGACGCAAAATCAAGGAACATAACACCAGTATGACAGAAACTAGGGCGGCAAGAGTGGAACAAAACATCGGGCATAAGGCCGAGCCTTTCACCCTTTACCAAGTATATAGATGCATTAATTAAATAAGAGATATTGTGATATCCCATGATATCCATGTCCCAACATGGAACAACCTGCAACTGCACCTGCAACTAGCAATGCTATTAGAGGGGCTATGCAAAGAGGTAACATAGCCAAACAACGGTTTGCTAGGAAGGATAAAAAGGTTAGAGGCTATCATGGCAATTTGGGAGGCTTCATAAACAAGTGGTAGGTAGCGTGACATAGCGATAGCATCGAGAGAACTAGCACGGCAAAGATAGTAGCGAGATCCAAGGTGACGGTCATCTTGCCTGAAATCCCGCTAAGAAGAAGACCGGATCCATGAAGTAGACGAACCAACGTAGTCGAACGGATCCTCACAATAGCAACACAACCAAAACTATCAAGGAGAAGTGCAACCGGAAAGAAGCAAACATCATGGTGAACAACCATCACATAAACATTGCATGATGCACAAACAAGCATATGATGCATGTCCGGTTTAATGAGGCATGGGAAAGTGCAACAAACACTACTACAAATTAAGTGGAGCTCAATATGCAACGAGTTGCATATTGACGAAACACCACATTCAAATATTTAGTTCTCTCCCATTTAGGTACCCAACAATATTAAATGTTGTTAAACACGGAAGAGGTCAAGCATAATTAAACTAACTATTTAGGCAAGTTTAAATGAGGCCGAAACATCAAACAATAATTCCGATAAATCCTCATGTCATTTAGCAATTTAATGCAAACAACAATTTTAATCATTTTAAATGTTATAATCACAATGCGGATAACATATACAAGTTTTATGCAATTTTTGTTAAAAGTTGACATGAACATGATATGAAGCATTTGGTCACCATGACAGAATGAAAGGGGTGGCATGGCAGCGATAGCGAAAATGATACCAAGGCATTGTTCCGATTCCGACAATTCATTGAGACGTCGGTGCAAAAAAAAACAAAAAAAAACATGGGATGCATGGAATGTGCAATGCAACAGGGAGTGATCCCAGATACCAGGTGTCCCATGTGTCGGTGGCATGGCAAACGAGGGACGTGCACGAAACAAATGGGCATGGTGCAAACACGGGGTTCATCTCACACAACACACAACATTCGTCCACGGCGGTCGCCTCGATGTTATACCTTTGAAGCATGCATTTTTGGAATGAATCAAGTTCGGAGCGGTGTAGAGGAAGTAGACGTTCTCGGGATAGTCATAGTGGAAGTAGTCATTCATGTTCGGGAAGTGGTAGAGGTACGGCTCTTCGACAACAGTCGCCATACATGCTCCGAGATCATCGATAGAGCTTCTCGCATGCTCCAGGGTCGTCGGTTGAGGTTCTCGCGATCTTGGCGACGGTAGTGGTACATGTTTTTGTAGATGTTCGAGTCATCGGTAGCGGTACTTGGTGAATCCCGAAATGTCTTGGCGTCTTCGCACATAGGGGTACTTGGTGAATCCCGTGTAGTCGAACTTGAGGGGCATCGACATCGTGGTACTTGGCATACATGGGTACTTGACAAAGATGAAACGGATCGCAAAGGTTGGTACTTCCGTCCATGGGTACTTGGTTTTTGTTGCAGGGTGGCCTTCGGTGGACTTGGTGGAAACCACAACGTGTGCAGGAGACAAACAACTCAAATCGTCCACGGCCGTGCGGAAGACAGTGGTGCTCCTGTTACGGGGAGGTTCGAATCACAGCAGCAGCAAGGCAACAGAGGCACAAGGGGCGAGGCGCACGTGGGAGCGAACTCGGGGAAGGGCGGAGCAGCTAGCAATGGTAGCCACGGCGGGAAGACAGAGGAGTGGAACTCCAGCGACGAGGAGGCGAAGCTCGAGGGAGAGCTCGGGCGACTGCTGCTCCGGCAGCTCGACAAGGAGGCAGGGCCAGCCGCGGTGCAGTGGAGGGGACGGAGCAGAGGTGGTCGACGGGTGCTGGGAGGTGGTTGAGTATGGTGTGCCCTTAGGCATGAGGTGGTGGATGACGAGCTTGCTCCGGCGAGCTGGTCACCAGCGCAGGGGAGGCGGCCAGCGGGAACAAAGTAGCGGGGCGAAGCAGAGGCCATGGCGCAGTGGCGTAGGTGTCCGACGGCGGCAGATCACAAGCGCGGGTGCGTGGATCCGAGGACGACGAAGCCGGATCCGGCGGTGGCGAGCTCCGGCAGTGGTGCAGCCGCGGCGTGGAGGTCTCGGGGCAGCAAGAGAGAGAGGTGATGACGAGGTGGCGTGGGGTCTACACGCGGGGACGCGGGGAGGAGGTGAGATGGCGCGGTGGCGGCAAGGTGAGGCTAGCAGGACGTGTCGCGCGGAGGGGAGGCGCACGGCGGCGGGGTCGGCGGCGATGAGGAGGTTGGGCGCGGGGGTCTCTCTCGTCTCTGGCGTCGCGAGCAGGGGAACGAGGGAGAGGGGGTCTATCTGGAGAGATGGGGTGCTGGTTGCGGGCTAGGGTTAGTGCGGCTGGGCCTAGGTGGGCCTTGAGAAAACAGGCCGGCCTGGTTGATGGGCTTTCTTCTCTCTCCCTCTTATTCTCATTTTGTAAAAACAGAAAAAATAACAAAGAAGAAAAGGAGAAGGAAGGAGGTGTTAGGGTAAGAAGTTTGACACACGGATAATTTTCCTGGACTCACAAAAATGTCCTTGTTCCAAGAAAATTGGAGTGGGCAAGATTGCAAGGTTTAAATTCAAAAGCATTTGAATTTAATTCAAATGGTTTGAACAAGAGGTAGGATTTTGAAGTGTCCAAAAATGTTGAGAATTTAGGAAGAGCCTTGATAAATGGAGAAAGAATTATTGACAAGGTTTGGAGGTCAACTCGAAGCAGAAAAGGCATGGGATTTATTTTGCAAGTGTGTTATGGTCGATTCCCAAAGAGTGGAAAACTTTGTTATAGATCCCAAATAATATTGAGAGACTTTGATATGCTTTAAAGAGAATTTCACCATGTGAATTTCCCTTGATTTAAATGGATCCGAGATCCATGCAATTTACTTGGTTGAGTTTTAAAACGGGTTGCAAGATGACATGATGCAATGCACATGATGCAAAGATGAATGCAACGAACCAAACAGATCACACGACGAATCTCGGAAAACAATGGAAGGCGTTTGGAGCGTCGGTCTTGGAGCGTCACAGCTTGGGAGCTATGCTTGAGATATGATTATACTTGTTGCTCTAGGATGAATGCTCCACATTTTCCCTTTTCATGTGAATTTAATGATAATGAAACCTTGGCTTCTTATGCTAGAGTTATATATGATTATTATGATGTGGAACGATAGAAGAATTTGTTGCTTAAGGTGCTTATGAAATTGAATATTTGTTTGAAAAGTATGAATATTTTGATGATTCAGTTTATAGACCTGAAATTTTTTCCATCCTTAAATATTGCTATGATAATTATAAATACAATTCCGATATTGATGAATTTATTGAGAAAGTCTCCGTTGTCCAATAAGAGACTAATATTTTGCAGGGGTCTATGGAAGAAGAAATTTATGAAACTGTGAGCTCATTGGATGAAAAAGATGATGAGGAGAGCGAAGAACAAAAGGAGGAAGATCGGATTAGCTACCCTTGCCTACCTTCTAATGAGAGTAACTCTTCAACTCATACATTATTTAATTTCCCTTCATGCTTACCGAAGGATGATTGCTATGATATTGCTATGGTCCCATTGATTCGTTTGAAATATCCCTTTTTGACGATGCTTGCTATGCTTGTGGCCACGATGCCAATATGAATGATGCTTATGGAGATGAACTTGCTATAGTTCATTATGTTAAGAATGAAATTGTTGCTATTGCACCCACACATGATAGTCCTATTATCTTTTTGAATTCTCCCAACTACACTATATCGAAGAAGTTTTTTCTTGGTATGGATTATATTGATGGGTTGCCTTTTACCATTGCACATGATGATTTTGATGAGTATAATATGCATGTGCTTTCTGCTCCTACTTGCAATTATTATGGAAGAGGAACTACATCTCCGCCTCTTTATGTTTCCAACACGAAAAATTGCAAGAAACTGCTTATGCTATGTATTGGCCTTTACTTGATGTTCATGAATTATTCTTGTATGACATGCTGATGCATACGAAGAGAGTTAGACTTCGTCATTGTATGATATATGTTCCTTTGTGCTCACTACTAAATGCTAAATCATTGTTGATTCATATTGGGTTTGATATACCTTAGGATCCGAGTGGGTCCATGACTTGAGCACTTTATGCCTGGCTTAATGGCTTTAAAGAAAGCACTGGCAGGGAGACAACCCAGAAGTTTTAGAGAGTCATTTATTTCTGTTGAGTGCTTTTATAAAGTTTAAAAACAAAAAATATAGAGGGGAACTTAAAACTTCACAAAAAGAAATGCGAAAGTGAGATAGACGAGCACCGTGGAAGCAGGAGCTAGCCTTGAACTTTGTTCATGCCCTTGGAAACTTTGTGAATCTTAATTACAGAAATATTTCAACAAAAATAATTATCCCCTTGTACAATTCCACTGTATTATAAAAATAATGTGCCAAGGTTTGCCTTTAGGATGTTTAGATTGCTTGTTGGTTTGTGCGGTGCAAAACAGAAAATTTGTCTGTAGTGCTCGATTTTACGTTTTTTACTGGAACGTCAAATGGTTCTGAAACTTCACGCACTGTCTTTATATACAAATTGTTTATTTTCTTAATTTTTTCAGAATTTTTGGAGTACCATAGGTATGGTGAATGTTCAGATTACTACTGACTGTCCCGTTTAAGACATATTCTGTTTTTGATGCATTGTTTTGCTCGTTTTGATGAAACTATCGATTTCTATCAATGGATTAAGCCATGGAAAAGTTATATTACAGTAGCTACAATGAAAAAAACAAAATATGAATTGGTTTGCAAGAATACTTAGAGTCGTGATTTGCTTTATTATACTAACGGATCTTACCAAAATTTCGGTTGAGTTTTGTGTGGATGAAGTGATCAAAGATCGAGGAGGCTCCGATATGAGGAGAAGGAGGAGAGGCAAGAGCTCAAGCTTGGGGATTCCCAAGGCACCCCAAGTAAATATTCAAGGAGACTCAAGCATCTAAGCTTGGGGATGCCCTGGAGGGCATCCCATCTTTCTTCAATAAGTATCGGTATGTTTTCAGTTTCGTTTTGTTCATGTGATATGTGCAAATCTTGGAGCATCTTTTGCATTTAGTTTTTCCCTTTTTCTTTTATGCACCATGCTTTTATGAGATAGTCTATGCTTGATTTATAGAATGCTCATTGCACTTCGCTTATATCTTTTGAGTATGGTCTTGTAGAATGCTTCATGTGCTTCACTTTTATCATTTGAAGTTTGGAATGCCTGATTCTCTTCACATAGAAAACCGTTATTTGAAGAATGCTATTTTGGTTTACTTATATTTATTATAGCATGGTCTTTTGTAGAAATAATTAAACTCTAATGCTTCACTTATATCTATTTAGAGAGTTAAAGGGAATTGGTCATTTGCATGGTTAGTCATAAAATCCTACATAAAACTTATGGATCACTGAATATGATATGTTTGATTCCTTGCAATAGTTTTGCGATATGGAGGTGGAATATGTGGGAGGTACTAGTAAACGGTTGTGTTTAGTAACAATATTGGTGTTAAGGTTTGTGATTCCCGAAGCATGCACATATAGTCTCTCGTTATGCTATGATGTTGGAGCATGATTTATTATTGATTCTCTTCCTTATGAGTGGCGGTCGGGGACGAGCGATGGTCTTTTCCTACCAATCTATCCCCCTAGGGGCATGCATAGTATTACTTAGCTTCGGGAGCTAATAAAATTTTGCAATAAGTATATGAGTTCTTTATGACTAATGTGAGTCCATGGATTATACGCACTCTTACCTTTGCGCAATTTGCTAGCCTCTACGGTACCGTGCATTTCCCTTTCTCACATCGACACGTGGTGCAAACTTCGCAGGTGCATCCGAACCCCGTGATATGATACGCTCTATCACACATACGCCTTATTACATCTTCCTCAAAACAGCCACCATACCTACCTATTTTTGGTGCAAACTTCGCAGGTGCATCCAAACCCCGTGATATGCCATGCAACTTCCACCGCTTCCGTTTGATGACTTGAGCATTCATTGTCATATTGCTTTGAGTGATCATATAGTTGACATAGTAATTGTGGCTCAGCCACCGTTCATCATTTTTCATACATGTTATGCTAGATCATTACACATCCTGGTACATTGCCAGGGGCATTCATATAGAGTCATATTTTGTCATAGGTATCAAGTTGTAATTTTTATTTCTTTTGAGTTATAAGTAAATAGAAGTGTGATGATCATCATTATTCATTTTTAGAGCAGTTCCCCAGTGAGGAAAGGATGATGGAGACTATGATTCCCCCACAAGTCGGGATGAGACTCCGGACAATGAGAGAAAAAAAAGAAAAAAAGAAATAGAAAAACTAAAGAAAGAAAAAGGAAAAAAAGAACAAAGAACAAAGAAAAAGGGAAAAATAAACAAAGAGAGAAGGGGCATTGTTAGTATCCCTTACCACACTTGTGCTTCAAAGTAGCACCATATTTTTCATATGGAGAGTCTCCTATGTTGTCACTTTCATATAGTAGTGGGAATTTTTCATTATTGGATTAGATGCACAACCACTTAGTTTTCATATTGAGCTTTCATACACTTACAACTCTTAGTGTATTTGTTGCATGGCAATCCCTACTCCTCACATTGATATCAATTGATGGGCATCTCCATAGCCCGTTGGTTAGCCGCTTCGATGTGAGACTTTCTTACCTTTTTGTATTCTTTATATTTACCCCTATCATCATACTCTATTCCACCCATAGTGCTATACCATGGCTTGCGCTCATGTATTGCGTGAGGGTTGAAAATGCTGAATCGCGTTAAAAACTATGAACCAATTTCTCAGCTTGTCATCGGGGTTGTGCG